TGCCATTTTATTTTTTTTAGATCAGGAAAGCACAATTAATCCCACATGCTGTATTGTCAACCTCTGGAAGTAGGAAGTAGTAGTAATGAGTTTGGTGCTGATGACTGGCTGGTTTACTCATCTTATTCACCTGACTAACTCCGCCCAGTTTCTCGTTACGGTTTATCGGATCCACCTGCTCCTGCTTCTATTTAACCATCCCTGTAACCAGTCATCAGAGCCAGCTTATTCTCGAGCCAGTGGTGAGAGTGCTCCAGCGTTACCTTAGGGTTTCTGATTACCTGATCCTCTTCCGGCTCTCAACCACTGAGCCTGCCTGTTCCCATCTAAATCTGTTTGCCTGACCTGTCTTTGGACTCCTGCTGGATTCTGCCCGTTTGCTGAACTTGGAGCTGCTTCCTGTCACTGACCTGGATTTCCCTTTAGAGCCTCTTCAGACTTCTGATCTCCTGGTTCTGAATCCTAAGTACATCCTTGACACCGGCTTTGGTTTCACCTTCTAGATTATGCTGCCCTCCTTCCTCTGCTTTGATCTGGTTTCCTGCCTGTTCTCCGTCCTCTGGCGCTGTGGCATCTGGGATTCTATGGGCAGCGCCCGGCGCATCTTGTTGGTAGCCGACCATCTCGATTCTACCTCGTTCTCTGGACACGGAGTGAACTAGTAAACCAGGTTAGTGACTCACACGTTCATAATCATCCTCAATCAGATTAACGTGATCACTAACCTGTGTTTTCCTCCTTCAAAGCTTCCTCCATTAGGCGTCCTTGCTGTTACCTCTGTTTTTAGCCCTGACAGTAGTAACTGTGAATCTGGTCCTCAAAAGAATGTCCAGAGTCTTGTCCTGAGGAGGTCGCTCTTCTGTTTTGGGCGATGCGTCTTTGGAGAGGTGGTTTGGTTTCTTCAATATAAAGATCAGATTACTCCTCACTGCATGCAGTGAGGAATGCTCTGATGGGACATTGCAGGCTAACAAAAGAAGCCAAACGACCCAAAGGAGTGAACCCCTTCGTCGGTTTAAATTTGCAGGTTTTCTGAACAGAAACAAGACTTAGATGGGCTACTGTATAACACCTCGAACTCAATGTTATTTCTGACATTTTGAATTGAAAAAGCTTCCTGAATGGGAGGCGAAGCGTCTTCAAACTTGGAAACAAAGTCCAGCGGATTGTGTTTTTACTTTTTTGGAACACTCAGTTTTATGGACATATTCCACGTAACAAAAAATACTGTTATAAAATGGAAAAGAACTAACAAAATACAATCTACTAAGCTGTATATTTTCTTCTCTTCAGTTTTTCCCAAGTATTACAAAAAATAAGTGTATTTATCTCATCATACTCTTAGCTGAGGAAGACCAGCGTAGTAAAAAAAAAAAAAATCTATTCCAGGACTCTGTTTACCCTCTAGGTTTTAATAAATGGATTTTTTCACATTCAGATATGCCAGCATTAATTACATCTCAGGTCCCACAGCTTATCATACAGAAACAAACATGCTTTTTTTTTGTAAGGATTACACTGAGGGCCAATTTCTGCATTTGAATGGACTGACCTATTGAAGAGCCTGAGGCACCTGCAGGCCAATCAGGGATTTACTGAGTCAGAAGACACATTCTGTGTCCTTGACTTTTCATAAAGCAGCAGAATGCAAGCAGCAACTTTCCAATAGACACAAATACAGTATCATCAAATGTGCCTTTTAAAATTGTTGTTTTTTAAAGGCTTAACAAAATGAGCTGACTGTCCCTCATAGGGGCTGAAATGTTATTTAAAAAAGAGCCTGCTGTTGAAATGTTGGCCTAAAATCATGTTTTTACTAGAAAATTTTTTTTTTTTGTTTTATACTAAATGTAATAGAGCATAAACATTTAGAAGGAGAATTTGAATTGAAAATTATGTAATGTTTATCACAGATCTTGTCAGATTTGCCTTGAGTTTTCTCACTGTGTGAAATAATTCAGGTTACAGTGTTACGGGCTGTGGGGAGTTAACAAGAGGCCTTTTTTGGACGTACAGTGCCGCAAGAGCATTTATACTACTGGACATTTTTACAAACATTCTCTTGCATTGCAAACCTCTGAATATTTATATCAAAGCAATGTGGTGTAGTATTCTAAAATGAAATGAACATAATACATAGGTTGAAAAAGTTTAAATTAGTAATTCTTTTACTGCACTTTCAGTGTATTCTCATTATCAGTTCATACAAAATCATATGAAAAGTTATGCACTGTAATTTCGTACGTGTTGGACGTTTTTTTTGTGGTATTGCGTCGTATTTTTACGTCTTGCCTCGAGACAAGATATTCTTGCGCATGCGCATCTTACGCACCATTGAATAAGATAGAATTTAACATAGAATTAACCCTAACCCTGACCCTAACCCTAAGATACAAAACAGCAACGTAGTTAGAGACATTATTGCACTGTTTTTCACAGTTTTACGTCCGTCCGCGGATCTGCTTTTTTCGTCTGTCTGCCTGCGCATGCGCACTGATCTGTTTTTTCGAGGAAAAAGGTCCAAAACGTACGAAATACTGTGCATAACTTTTCGTACGATTTCATACGAACTGATAATGAGAATATGTTGGCACTTAACACAAAACTACAGGTACAAGGATAAAAGTGGGAGTGTTTGCCTAGTAGTTAGAGCAGTGTGCTTGTGCTCTGAGAAGGTTGCAAGTACCTGGTTCCATCCCCACAGCCTCCACTTCTGGTTCCTGAGCAAAAACCTTAACCCCACACTGCTCCCTGGGTGCCGCACAGTGGCAGCCCACTGCTCCCCAAGGGGATGGGTTAAATGCAGAGGTAAATTTCTCCAGTGTGAGATCAATAAAGTTATTATTTTTATTAAAAAATACAACATGATGCTAATATTTATTGAAAATACTATAGGGATGCTAGTGCTATAGCGTCTTATGTTTGTTTCTCCGAAATCTTTTTGCCTAAAAGAGGCACAATTCCTGCAAGAAGTTGTATTGAATTGTCCCATTGATGAATATAATAAAAATGCACATATTGTACCCAGACAAAAATGAAAAAGACTTTGAGTAAAGAAAAAGTGAGCTCTGTTACAGTAAAAGATTGCCTCCCAAAAATAGAAACACAGTATATTCAATTGTAAGGGCCCGACATTTAAAAAAGACACAAAGGCAGGCTGTGTAACATTTAACAACTGTATTCAAAATCAAAAGTGGAAACATCTGTTCTGTCTTGCAGCTGCTTTGATGAAGAGTGTGCTGCTCACAAGAACAGAAAAGGAAACAGGGACAACCAGGAACTCACTTAGACACAGATTCTCCATGTTGGAGTCCACAGGGGAAAAATAAAGGTCGTTGGTCATATGACAGAAACAGGGTCAGGGCCGAGAGGTTTGAATAAGGAGGAGGTATCCAAGGGGAAGGGGAGAATCAGTAGTCAGAGGGTAAAAACCACCTCAGTGTCCAGATATCAGAGAGCTCAGGGTGGTCTGGCGAGGGGAAGACGGCGGCATGGAATCCATGAGGAAAAGCAAGGTCAGGTAGTCGGGAAGAGAAAGAACATTTGACATCTATTGCTGTGGATAATCTGGCAACAGTAACTAGTTTGAGGTCTGGTTAAATAGGCAGGGGAACAGGCGGTAAGCATGAGCACTGATGAGAAGGGGCGGAGCTACACAGGTGGGGTGAATAAGTAATTAGGCTGACAGGACCAGAGCTGAATGTAAAATAAATGTAACATTTTATTTGCAAACACTACAGTGGATGAGAAAGCAATCATTTAGAGGAGGGGAGGGAAAAAGAAGAACAATATGTAAAAAAAAAAAATGTGCATGTATATTTTGCTCTAATGTATGTGTCTGTGTAATTATTTTGTGTACTTTCTTCTCATTTCGGCTTTTCTCAAATTTTTTAAAAGAATTGCTCCCCATGCGAGAGCATACACAAGTCCATTTCTCCTCATGCACGCTCTGTTTAAAAGTTGCTTTTCTCATATGTGTCCGAAGGTCGCCCTAAACCCTAAATCCCTCAATCACTTTTTAGAGCAGGGACTTTAAAGTAGACTCAGTCAACTTACCGTAAGGACAGATGGTCACTTCCCCATTGGTCTACTGCGCCATCTTTGTTATTGCCGCCGCGGTCGCGTAGCTGCAGCCTATGGCAACAGCTTTTCGAGAAGAGCTCTCTGCGTAAAGCATTCTGGGATATATCTGGCTCTTCTGTGGCCTTTCTCTTCATCTCATACACTTTGTAGAAACTTTTAAACTTACGAGCCTAAGATATACGCCTGAAAGGGAGCATCTGCAAAAAAAAGATAGCTAATGGACAGCCTTATGTAAACATGTCACCAGAATGATTGACAATTAGGAGGACCACTTATTTTGATGATCCATCTGGAAGTAAAAGAACATCCTCTATACCTAAAAATCAGTAACTGTTTATATGAGAATAATTTTTTTTTTAGAAAATGTAATGACCCTGTATTTACAACCTGCTGACCTACATTAAATGTTAACAAGAAGTATAATAGGTAGCCTATCCTTTCAAAGCTTTGCAGTCTTTTCCTTCGTCATTGCTCCAACTTGATTCAAATTCAGACTTATCAATGAAATATTATTATGATTTTGTTTTAACATGAAAAAAAAAAAGAAATGAGGAAATGGCACAGAGGTATGAAGAATTAGTAACATATTGTTTGGGTAGAGTCACAAAAGCATCACTAAAGTCTGCAAAACAAAATAAACTTAATCATAAAATCTCTGGATTTGCAAGACTTTAGATTAAAAAAAAAGATTCAAGCACATTGAGTGCTAAAATCAGCAAGAAGCAAGGACAGGTTGGGATGATAAGTCGTGATCTATCTGCTCGTTGACTCCAAGTTGGCATCAGCTGGGCATCTTTTCCTCTGCGTCTTATCTCTCCTCATGCTCGCCTTGATCTCGCCCTCGTCACAACCACGCAATTGGTCAAGGGAGGAGGCGGTGGGTGACTGCGGGCCCCTGTGACTGGCTCCGTGGCGGATTGGACGGTATAAAAAAGCCGCGGTGACCGCAGAGCAGACCAGACCTCTCTGACTCTGCCCAGGTGAACCTCACTGCGCGTTATGGAGCGCACTTTCCGGGAGCAGCTCTTCTTTCTGCTCCTGTGTCTGTCCGTCCTCAAGGGAGACTGCAGGTACATTGAGGTGAGAGTAGCGACTCTAAAAAAAAACAAAAAAACTTCATTATTCTATAATAATTATTATAAAAAAGGAATAAGTGGAATAAAATATTTATTTTTCATCCTACAGAACAACGACATCTCAAAAGATGAACTCTATTCGCTTCTTAGCGCGGATCTCAGGAGGGAAATACCTGATCTGTTAATGTATCGCCGACCTTTGCGTAAGTTTTGCTCAATTAATAAATAAGCATGTGAAATTATTTAGAAAGAAGAAAAAAAAATAACGCATAGAATTACACAAGTTGCAGCCATTTCCTCCTATTTTACAAAACATTTAAAATATTTACTAACTTTAAAGATTAAATAGAAACAAATAAAAATCTCTAAAGTAATTTTTTTATATCTAACATCAGTGTGAATGAGCTCCTGTATTGCTTGTGTTTGATTCTAATGAGCATCCTATGTGATGGACCATCAGGTTGCCTGGACATGGTGGCGATGGAGGGCCAGTTCACCTTCACAGCAGAGAGCCCTCAGCTCAGCTGTGCAGCTTTCTTCATGGCAGAGCCCACTGAGCTCATCACTGTGGAGTATGACAGCGTGGACATCGACTGCAGCGGAGGAGACTTCATCACAGTAAGAAGGAAGATTTATCACACGCAAAACACACTGTTGACACCTTGTTGCATTTAAATTTAGTACATTAAACACCACTAGTGCATCTTTCTAGTCGCTTTTGTTATTTTGTGGAAAGAAATAATAATTGCATAATGGAAAGCTTGTTGAAAATGTTTGTTTTTCTTGGTTTTCTGCTACTAAGCACTGGAAATGGATAATTTGCTAAGATTAGTAACACTTTTGGAAAAGCTCCTTAAGCATGAGCATTGGGTAAAACCGGTTTATTCTGGTTACTTTATGACAAACATCTAAAGCAAGAACCAAGCTGCATCATATTATTATTAATATTATAATTTATCATTTAAAATTGGAAACAGGCTGTTCAACCTCTACAATCTGCTGCACACTGACTGAAAATAAAAAAACCCTTAATGTTAAAAAGCTTATCAATTGCTTGCAAGCTGTTGAATTGTAAAGTGCCCTAGATGACAACTGAATTGAATTGGCGCTATATAAATAAACTGAATTGAATTGACAAGCATCATGCTGTTTGCAAATATATCCGCTCTTAAAAACACATATACTCCAAAGCTATTCTGCAAAAGCTGAAGTAATGCAACCCTTTATTAGAACTACCACAGACAGGCAGCATGTCTTCATAGCAGCGCACTACAGGCTGGTTACCAGAGACGGTTTGACAAATTAAACAGATGATCAAATTTTTCTATTCCCAGAGTGAAAAGTCAAAATAGTCTTTGCAGTTACAAAGTTTGCTTTAATACTTCTTCATAGTTAGAGTTTATATTAATGCCTTATTCTATGACCAATAAGTAATTCATACAGATGTTTAAGAAACAATAAATGTCTTATTTTAGAATTATATTTGAAATAAAAATCAATAATGTTACAGATTTTCCACAGCTAGTGTCTAGATCATACCCATTCGTAGTGAAGCTTTACTCAGGATTGCTTTTAGTTTTCTCCCTCTTTGTGTGTGTGTTAAATTGTTTTATGCAGATGTTTGATGGATGGGTGATGAAGGGTGAAAAGTTCCCCAGCTCCCAGGATCATCCACTGCCTCTACACGAGCGCTATGTGGATTACTGCAGCTCGGGATCAGTGAGGAAAAGCGTGCACTCCTCCCAGAACGTGGCGATGGTCTTCTTCCGTATTCACAGCGCTGGCAGCAGCTTCACCCTGACTGTCAGGAAGCACATCAACCCCTTTCGTGAGTAGTAAAGTGTTTCAGTCAGAGAAACTCACTGTTAAATTCAAAGATTTACAAAAGATGCAGCAAAGAAGAAATAAAATATGCCCACCTTTCGACTCAATGCATTTCTTTTGTGCACATTCCTTTGCCTCAATTCTGAAACCTGTCAATCAGTTTTGTGTCATTGGCATTTCCTTTTCCCCTTGCAGCCTGTAATGTTATTTCACAGTCACCAGAGGGCAGTTACACAATGGTGATCCCCCAGCAGCACAGAAACTGCAGCTTCTCCATCATATATCCAGTGGCCATCGACATCTCAGAGTTCAGCTTGGGACACCACAACAATTTCCCCAAGGTGAAAATTCATAAATCATGCAGAAATGTTGGATTAGAACTCCTGAATCGTACTCTGAGAGTTTGAAGGTCAAGTCCAGATTTTGGGATGATTAAAATCAGCGCATTTGAGTTCAGGTTAAGTACCTTAACATTTGGCGAAAAGAAAGGGTAATTAACTTAACCAGACAATGAAAAAAGGAGAATACCTTGTTGTCATTATAATAACGTAACATTACACTGGTTAAGGAAAATAACCAGCATAATAGCATTATGGTACAGTTAACCTTGTACTGATGTAGTTCACTACTATAACTCCATGTGTTTAGGCTCTATGGGGAAAAAAAGAAAGAAATAGCTTGTGGCTTTTCTTCAAGTACATCATTTCCCTTATATAGCAGTTGGGCAAACAGTGAATTTTATAAAGATAGTCCTTCCTTTACGCTGCAGCCAATCAGCATACAGTGTTGATGGACGCAGTGTAACCACAGTTACATTTTTTGTCTGTTGTTGCCTGTATAATGCTCCAACTCTCTCCATAAAGGTCCCATACCAAACAGTGCAGCACTAAGGGAGAACGTACATAATAGTACTTCTATAAAGGTTAATAAGCCGGTCTACTTTCTGAGAAGATTTTTCCTGAGTTTTAAGAAAGAAAAAAAAAAAACAAGCGTTTTGGTTATGGCTGGGCAGTTAAAGGTATAGAGGACAAGCTTTTATTTCCGAGTGGATCATCTAAATAAGTGGTCCTCCTAATTGTCAATCATTCTGGTGATAAGTTTACATGAGGTCGTCCTACGTGCTCGTCCAGTTAGCTATCTTTTTCTGCGCAGAGAATCATTGAAGCTCACCTTTCTCACCGCAGTTCTTTGAAAATGGCCGGTGGTCATAAGAGAAAAAGTGTCCACGAAGTGTATGAGAAGAAAAGAAATGATCAAAGAGGCAGATATCCCGTAATGCTTTGCACGGAGAGCTCTCCTCGCAAAGCATTATGGGATTTGCTGTCACAGCGGCTCGCTGTAACCATAGGCTGTCACTAGCCGACAGTGGCAACTAAAAACAAAAATGGCACATGCACCGCTCAGTGGAGGTGTTACATGACCAACGGGGAGTGAAAAGTAAAGATCATCAGTCTGAACTGTCAGTTAATTGAGTTCGCTATAAAATCCACTATATAGTCCCAGCTCTATATAGTGATTGAGGGATTTAAGGGTTAGGGCGGACATTCGGGCACAATAAGCTTATATGAGCTATGAGAACTGCAACCCTTAAACAGAGCACGCACAAGGAGAAATGTGCCCGTGGATGCTCTCCCGCATTTTTTTTTTAAGTGGAGAGGGCGGGTCTTTTAAAACATTTGAGAAAATCCTCCACAGTACCTTTAATTGCATTTTCAATTTAATTGCAATTTAACAAAACTCGACTGTTCTGTTCAACAAAAGTAAGTAAGACACTGACTTTTTCACTCCAGCCCATTAGGTGGCTTTAATACACTTAAAGTGGGTTTGCTGCCACACAGAGGAGAGGAGAGAGTTGCAGCTAGGATGCACATCCATGCATGCAAGTAGAAAGGAGTGCTTTTCCATAAAGCAGTAAAGACCTGCGAGACAGTGAGACCGTAGAGTCAAACATCTACATAAAATCACAGCATTGGTTAAAAAATACCAAAATTTAGATTTATGGCAAAATCATTCAGCATATCATGCTGTTAGAGCGTAGGCAGGTAAAGCCCTTTGAGACCAGGGTAAAGAGGGCTCAGCACACAGCTCTGATGATCAAACCCCATATGTCCTTTAAAAAGGCAGTGGTTAAGCCACGCCTCTCTTACCGTTTGGGTAGCAGCTTGTTCTGGTAGCGTTTATTCAGTCATGCTAACCTTGTTCTACTGATTAACAGCTTATAACTCTGCTTTAATTACATTAATGTCTTAGTTTCTGTTTTTAGTATAAAGTCATATGTTTATGCTTTTAAGAGATGTTTATTCCAGAAAATGTTTTGAGGTTTATGTAAACCTTTTTGATTTACTTTAAACACATGATTTGACATCTGCATTGTCTGGTTATTTACTTAGAAACTAAAGATGCAAAATGGTGTTTGGAGGCATTGCATCGCCAATAGTCTTCCTTTGTTGAAAGAACATATGTAAGATTTGAGTAGCTGCCAGACTTTAAAGTTAAGTGATTTTTAGGAGCGAACAATTTTAGTGTTTTCATTATGTTGTTTTAAGGCAGTTGATTTGGTATGACTGACTTTACATGTTGTATTTTGTGTTTCCCAGAGGAAGCTCACTGGTGGTGAACTGCCTTCAACCTCGACTTTCCATGTGAATAATCACCTATTCTCTGTAAGTTTCCACCAAATCAAAAAAAATGTCTTATTATACAAAGGTTTAGTTTGAAGAAAACACATGAATTAACCTGTAATTTAGTTTACTAAACCCTTATAATCTTTTAACAGAGCCTCAGTTATAACAATCTTGAACAATCCCTTTAAAATACAATTATTCAAAAAGACAGCAATATTTTAATTTATTTTCAAGGGAGTTCTTTTGAACAGTATAATATATAAAAAAGTAATTTATTGTTAATATTTTATGAAACATGTTCATTTATAGCTAAATGTTGAAGACCTCCAGCTTAGGGTGTATTTTTTTTGCATCTATTTGGATTACATTTGAAAGCCACATGGGGCGGGGGCTGACAATGTGTATGCCTTTCTGGTAAGTGGGATTTCTTTTTTTTTTTTTTTTCCCTGCAAGGAGGTTGTTAGCAAAAATCCTCCAGTAAATGGCCCTATCGTCCTCTCTGCATTGCAGTCGTCCTGTCTCCTTTGCAGACTGGAACCCCCAAAGAATCATGGTTCCACCTCCATGCTTTACAGTTGGGATGCTGTTTGTTGGACTTTTACTCATATATGGCGAGTTTAATTTAATCCAAAAACTATATTATCCAGGTGGTCTTTGGAAAACTTCAGACCAGCCTGGATATGCACTTGCTTGAGCACAGGGTCTTTGCATGCAATATAGGATTCTAATCAATGGCAGTCTAGGATGTGAGCAGTGGTCTTATTGGAGATTGTACTCCAAGCTCTGGACTTATCCATCACCTTCCTCATGATCATTGAGGCCCAGTTGAGATCTTGCATGGAGGGAGACTGGCCATCGTGTTAAACTTCTTCTATTTTCTTATATTTGCACCAACAGCTGTCTTTTCTACAACAAGGTTTCCGCAGGTCATTAAAAATCATTAAAAGTCATTAAATAATTATTTTTAAATTAAGGCCTGAATTGGCATTAAAATTCATTACATGTAATTATTTTGCCATTTAAAATGGTTTATAAAAACAATTTATTCAGTGATATATATATATTTGCAAAAATGCAAATATATCACAATATATTTGCACGGGAACTGCTTCCGGCTGATGGTCAAGCTGTATGTTCGGAAAAGAAGCTCAAGGTGGAGAAAAAGCTTTAGAATGGGGAAAATGATAATTTCAGCAAAAGTGGCTGGAAATCTTGGAATTCCAGCCTGCGGACAGTAAAGATGAAGAAGGAATTTGCCGTGTATATAAGAGAGTCATGGGTACTTGTTGCATTAAAATTATTTTTAAGAGCATTAAAAGAGCATTAAAAAGCCTTAAATTAGAGTTGCTCATTCCTGTATAAACCCTGAATAAGCTGCTTTCCTACTTTCCTGCAGCCAATCCCATCATTTTGTTGTTTGTGGAGAGGCTGGAGATTGTCTAGCTGAGTGTATTTGTATTATCCTGTGGATCCCCATTAGGTACAACAAGATGCTGCTGCCATTCTCCCTGGAGTGGACAAGTGTATTTTCATACAGATGGTTTAAAATAGGTGCAGTTAATTCAAGTAATGCGTAGAGAGCAATAAGATTTCTTAGAAAATAACTAAAAAGAATGTGAAAGCTGGAAACCTTACTAGGTGATTGATAGGCAAGCAAATATTTTTGAAAAGAAGGATTAAAAGATACCTATGATACAAATATAAGGCTTCTACATTCTTTGTGACTTGAAAAACTGCAAAATCAACTGTATATCAAATGTTTGTTTTCTCCACTGCATGGAAAACCATTTTCCCCTCCAAACATTTTCATATATAAAAGGTCAAATGTCAGTTAGGGATGCCTTCTATTTAGCCTTTATTATCTATGTCAGATTGATATATTTGTATTCAATAAGGAATTAAACATGTTATTTCTGGTAAATAAAAATAATGCCCCTTATCTGCCACATAGCAGCAGAATTAGAGCCAAATGTCCTTTTTTTTTTCTAAGTAAGTGTTACATGTGGTGGCCTTCTTCCAGTCAGCTGGCAGCAGGTGGAGCAGCACTACATCTGTGTTCCAGACGGATCACTCTGTCACTTTCTCTATTCCTATGCTCTGGATGTGCATTTATATGGACTTAAGCCCAAGTATTTTATCCCTGACTTTATTCCTGGGAATAATAATAATGATTTGGGGCTCTTTACTTTAATCTAATAGAGAATCTGTGAAGGAGGTAGACATCAGGGTGATGGTGAGGGGGCTTTACTTTAATAAAGGGTCATAAACTCTTATTCGCTGAAACCCAAATGTTCCAAATCTCATTAAAACCAAATAAAACAAAAATGCGCTGTAATACCTATATTTTTTAAAACCCACATATGATCAAAATTATAGTTGCATTGTGACAATTTATAGTCATATTTCATGGAAATGTATTACTACAATTAGACAAACTCAAACGAAATGCTGTGTGTGTTTGAAATAGATTTTCTTAGAGATATGAGAATTTGGAAATAACAAGTATAATGCATAAGTCTGTTTGAAAGGGATAAAAGGATTGTTCTTGGTTCTGATACCAAAATGATTCCCTTCTGGGAATGATAAGGTTGTTTAAAAAAAGAAATTAACTTGTTCTAAAATGTTCAAATATATGTGCTTCTCTCCATAGAGATCCTTACCTGGTTGTGCAGAGTCTGAGGATTACGTGCAGTTGTTGGGAGGAAGTGGTATTGACACATCAAAGCTGCTTCCCATCACAGACCTCTGCATCACCTTCACTGGACCCAGTAAGAAAATTCTTCCTTCCCCCTCATTGTAGGCATGTGATTGACCTCATCAAGACCTGATATGTACTTTTTCTTCCTCTCTTCCTGTGTAGCCCACATGAAAATAGCCTGCGAAAACACAGTGGTGAGGATGGTGTCCAGCGGGAGGTTTGTCAGTCGTGTGTCCTTCAGCTACAGGCTTCTGGACAGCCAGGAGCTACAAACGATCAAACTCAATAATGTGGAAGATTTCTGTTTCAGCAACTGATCCCAACAGGGTCAAATTGTAACAAATGCATCTTTTGACTGCCAAACATTTCTTAAGTCATTTCCCACCATGTCAGTCTAGATTCCAAGGACGTTGAAGTAAGATGAAAATGAATAAATATGATGTGAGAAAACATTTACTGGCATGTTGAATTTATTTCCCCATGGTATCATTTTTTATGGCTTATTGTTGTTGCAAAACATGCTGTATCTCAGTTAAATTGTGTTTTATGAAATTGATGTTTCTATCTATGCTTTTTTTTACATCTACTTATTGTCATGGTGTTATTGTTATGTAATTATTCATGGGTTTGTGATTCTTGAAGTTGAACGGTGCTAAATGAGTTTCCTTTTGTTTGTATGAATGATACACGATGTGCTGAGTTGATTTATGTTAAGCAGAAAGTTAACCTAATAATTATTAGTATCTGGTGCCAATATTCAGTTAAATTTGGTTTAAAAACATACTTTTGTAATAAATTTTTATTGCATAGCAAAGCATTTACTTGTGGTTGTCTTACTCCATTTTACAAAAAACATAAGCAGATTAGCATCTTAGTGAATCAGAATAAAGTTTATTGCCAAGTAGGTTTGCACTTACAAGGCATTTGACTTGGTGTTGATGGTGCAGACAAATTATATTTACAGAATCTACAATCTATAGCTATATACAATATAAAACATACAATATACAATATAGCCATATACTGTATATAAAGGTAGACTGTGCTTTAATGTATAGCAGGAGATCTGGAGAGGCTACGTTGGTGTAACGTAGCATCTCCAGGCTGGTAGAGGATAGAAAGAGACTGCTTGTGGCGTGAGGTTTTGGTCCTGATGAGCCGCAGCCTCCTGCGAGAGGGATGTGACTGAAATGGTTTGTGGCTGGGGTGGGAGGGATCAGCTGCAATCTTCCCTGCACGCCTCAGAGTCCTGGAGATGTATAGATCCTGGAGAGATGGAAGATTGCAGCCAATCGTCTTTTTTGAAGACATGATGAGAAGCTGCAGTCTGCCCTTGTCCTTGGCGGTGGCACCAGCGTACCAGATTGTGATGGAGGAGGTGAGGACTCCCTGATGGAGTAGAAGTGCACCAAAATTGTCCTTGGCAGGTTGAATTTTTTCAGCTGCTGCAGAGGTACATCCTCTGCTGAACTTTCTTGCTGAGTGAGTTGATGTTCATCTCTCACTTTAGGTCCTGTGAGATGATTGTTCCCAGTAAGCAGAAAGACTCCACTGTGTCAATAGTGGAGTCACAGAGGGTGATGGGGATGGGTGGGGCTGAGTTCCTCCTGAAGTCCACAACCATCTCCACTGTTTTTCAGAGCATTGAGCTCCGGGTTGTTCTCCCTGCACCAGCTTGCCAGATGGTCAACCTCACACCTTTAGGCGGACTTTTCACCATTAGAGACAAGTACGATGAGGTTGGTATTGTCTGCGAACTTCAGAAGCTTGACAGACAGGGAAAAGAGCAGAGGAGAAAGAACACAGCCCTGGGGGGTTCCAGTGCTGATGAGCTGTGAGTCAGAGATATGTTTTCCCAACTTTACGTGCTGTTTCCTGTCAGACAAGTAGTCTCTAATCCACCTGCTGGGGGAGTCCGGAACACTCAGCTGGGAGAGCTTCTCCTAAAGCAGAGCTGGGAGGATTGTATTGAAGACAGAGCTGAAATCCACAAACAGGATCCTGGCATATGTACCTGCGGAATCCAGGTGCTGGAGGATGCAGTGAGGGGCCAAGTTGACAGCAATGTCTGCAGACCTGTTGGCTCTCTAGTCAAACTGTAGGGGGTCCAGGAGGGGGTCAGTGATCTCTTTCAGGTGTGAAAACGCAAGGTTACTTAAAGGACTTCATAACCACAGAGGTCAGGCCGAAGGGTCTAAAGTCATTAAGTCCTGTGGACCTAATGAAAAAAGTCCTGTGACCGCTCCAGACACAACTGAACCGTGCTGTCATTAGTTCATTAGTAGGTCTTGGCACAGTTCATTTCTGGCTCAGTTCTCAGATAACAAAGAGCGCATGAGCAGTCCGCGTCATTTCCTTACATTCAGCCTCCGTAATCATGAAATTTCAGACATTCATAAAAATACAAGCTTCCCTATCTTGCCACACGATTTTCAGTGATGATTCTGCTTAGCAGTGTGATGAAACTCAACGTCTGCCGTTGTTTCCTGCATCTGTAAGACCTGATTAGACTTTTGTTTGTCTTATCCACTTTTTAAAAGCAGACTCTGTCATAAAAATTCACCAAAGGCTGCCTTTTTTACCTGACCCTTCGCAAACAATGAAATATCGCAATGATAACAAAACATAACTTCCTGAATGTTTTGGGCACCGCCATGTTGGTTTGCTTGTTTACCTTTAGAGAGCAGTAGTACCGTAGATCAGTGATAGAAGGTGAGGAACTACGCTAGAGTGATGTGTAAATGGTCGTAAGGAACCAAGCTGGGCGCGGTTAACTGATCCGGGGTCGGTCCAGACTCGGCACGGTTTGGTTTTCAGAGGCTAGTGTAAATGGTGTATAAGACTTTTAAACAACTTTTATTGTCATTTTCTATATACAGAGTGTATACAAAAAGGAAATTTCATNTGGTATTGTCTGCGAACTTCAGAAGCTTGACAGACTGATGGCTGGAGGTGCAGCTGTTGGTGTAAAGGGAAAAGGGCAGAGGAGAAAGACACACAGCCCTGGGGGGTTCCAGTGTTGATGAGCTGTGAGACATGTTTTCCCAGCTTGACGTGCTGCTTCCTGTCAGACAAGTAGTCTCTAATCCACCTGCTGGGGGAGTCAGGAACACTCAGCTGGGAGAGCTTCTCCTGAAGCAGAGCTGGGAGGATTGTATTGAAGGCAGAGCTGAAATCCACAAACAGGATCCTGGCGTACGTACCTGTGCAATACAGGTGCTGGAGGATGTAGTGGGGGGCCAAGTTGACAGCAATGTCTGCAGACCTGTTCGCTTTCTAGTCAAACTGTAAGGGGTCCAGCAGGGGGTTAGTGATCTCTTTTAGGTGTGAAAACACAAGATCACTTAAAGGACTTCATAACCACAGAATTTGTGGTTAATGACTTTAGACGACGGGTCTAAAGTCATAAAGTCCTGTGGAACTTGGCTTTTTGGCAACAGGGATAATAGTAGAGGATGTGTAGCAGGTTGGCACATGACATGTCGCCAGTGAGTTGTTCTGTGTTCTGAAGGGTTTATTAACATCTCTCTCATTGAAACTTGAAAAGAGTTGTCATTGAGATGAGTGGAGGGGAGGGTTTTTAAGATAGGTAATGGGAGAGGTGCCTGAGCCCCAGCTGTGGTGAGGGAGGTGTCATGGGGGTTGATTGCAGGACTGTCTGTCGAAACAAAAGTAGAAGCTTTTCCAGTTGCTGGCTAAGTGTTGGTCGTTCCTCAAGTTGGGGGTTTAAGCTTGCAATTAGTGATTTGTCCTTTCCAGATTGACGCAGAATCATTGGTGTAGACTTAAGCCCCATTTACATTACCCTTTTGAAACCAGGCCGAGATCGGTCTGAGCATGGTAACCGAGATAACTGTTGCGTGTAAATGGCAGGCACAACTGAACCAGACCGCTCCAGACACAACTGAACCGTGCTAAACTAGTCACTAGTTCATTAGTTTTTTTTATTTATTTTTATTTTATATACTCTAATAATCCTAGAGGGAAATTACTTCTCTTGGTGAGCAGTGAGCTTCCATTATGCGGCGCCCGGGGAGCAGTTTTGGGTTAAGGGCCTTGGTCAGGGACCCAGAGTGGCAGTCTATGGGAGTGGGGGATCAAACTCACAATCTCAGGATTCAAAGCCCTATGCCCTAAACCACTAGGCCTTGGCACAGTTCAGTTCTGGCTCAGTTCTCAGATAACTTGCCACACATAGTGATGTTTCTGCCTAGCAGTGTGATGAAACTCAACGTCTGCCGTTGTTTCCTGTGTCTGTAAGACCCTATTAGACTTTTGTTTGTCATGTCCACTTCTCAAAAGCCGACTCTGTCATGAAAATTCACCAAAGGCTGCCTTCTTTGCCTGACCCTCTGCAAACAATGAAATATCACAATGATAACAAAACATAACTCCTGAATGTTTTGGGCAACGCCATGTTGGTTTGCTTGTTTACCTTTAGAGAGCAGTAGTACCATAGATCAGTGATAGGAGGTGAGGAACCGTGCTAGAGTGATGTGTAAATGGTCGTAAGGAGCCAAGCTGGGCGCGGTTAACTGATCCGGGGTCGGTCCAGACTCGGCATGGTTTAGTTTTCAGAGGCTAGTGTAAATGGTGTATAAGACTTTTAAACAACTTTTATTGTCATTTTCTATATACAGAGTGTATACAAAAAGGAAATTTCATTTTGTACAGCTTTCAGACAGTAATTGAGCAGCAGCTTAGCAGTGAAATGAACATTTCCATTTCATAAAGTGCAGCAGTGATCAAATGTAAAGTGTGAAAGAAAAAAAAAACATGGTGCAAAAATGCATTGATATGGAAGTTCAGAGCATTTCAAGACAAATATACTACATGGTGCAAATATGTAGAATTTTGGTTTGGTATTATCAGTGTGATGCAGAGTCTGTGAGATGATTTAGAGTTTTTTTTCCCCCACAGTTTAGCAGTCTGATTACAGTGAGGAAGAAGCTGTTGCAGAATCTGATGGTCCTACATCAGATGCTGTGAAGCCTCTTCCCAGAGAGAAGCAGGGATAGCAGTCCATGGTGGGAGTATGAGGGGTCACTGATGATGTTATGGGCTCAGGACACACAGCGCTGGGATGAAATGTCTTTTATGAAGAGGAGTGGAGCCCAGATGATCCTCCCTGCTGTTCTCACCTCTCTTCTCCCCTTCTTTCAGTCTGAGGCACTGCAGCCTCGACACCACACAGTGAGACAGCTTGTCTAAATGCTCTCTAAGGTGGATTAATGTTTAAAATAGCTCTAATGTTTAAAAATAGAAGCCAAAACTAGCCTTCACCTCAAGTTTTGATCTTATATTTGTCCAAATTTTGAGATGACAATATTTCCAAAACACAATAGAAACATGCAAATTTGGAATAAAAAACAAAACACTCTCCTCGGATGGATGGTTAGTGCCTTTCATTTTTCATTGTCATAGGTCGGCCTGCATAATTTTGTTATTTTATGCATCATTTATCTGGAACACCTGGGGGGACTGGCATTGCTTTGTTTAAACATATCTGGAATGGAAATGATCCATGGCCACTGACCTCAAAAACATACATACAATGCAATTCCTGGAGAGAAAGGTCATGTAAATGTCTAAAACATTTTTTTTTTACTCTGAACTATTCTGCTTACATGTTCAACACTGAATCATTTGGGGAGGGAGAACATATTTTTCTTACAGACAAAGTCTCTACAATAATTAGTCAACAGCCTCAGAATTTAAAAATAACTCTTTTATTGGCAAATGGGTTTTACGCTCCAGTCTTCAAAAAAAAACAAAAACAAAAAA